AAGAACTTCTGCATTGCTCTGGGGAAAAGTGGGGAGAAATTACTACGTTCCTAATCAAAAACCCCAAAGATATGAAATAAATTGCTCTTTTCATACTTGCTTTTGATTCTGGGTGCCATTATCTCTGTAATTTCTCATGCTCAAACCACATAATTTGCAATTCTGAGTCCTGTTTTTATTGGCTAGGAGATTTACTGTGCAAAGCCCTTGGACATCCTCCAGTGAGAAATATTATAAAGTAGGTGATTCTAGAGAGGCAATGAAGAACAAGGAGGAGAAATAGGACCATGGACAGGAGACGCTCCCTGCTCTGGGATCCCTCTGCTGGAAGGGCTGCTGGGGTTCATTTTCTCTGCAGGTCTGTTAGGCAAATTCTCTTCTCAGAAAAGGTGTACAGGGACATTTCTCTGAGCACTAGGTGAAATTCAAATATTTTATTCACTATCAATTGATGTACTTGGTAGCTGGTTTGTTTTCACGTGATGTTTAAAAAATAACTATTCTCTGCATTTCTACTACACATTAACACATTATGTACAACTAAGAATATTACTCTTTGTTGCCCATCTTGATTCACAGATTTTATCTACTCACCGAAACTGCACTACTTTCACTATAAATGCCAGAATAAGGCATTTACAGTGGTATATTTACCACTGTAAGTGGTATATTTAGTTCTATAAGAGGAAGGCAATAAGCTAGAAGTTTTAGCAGCATGTGGGTAACAGCTTAGAAGTACAGACACATGGAACTACATTGTCACAACTATGAGGGAGTGTGTGCCTGTGTGTGGAGAGGTTAGGCACCCGCACCATGCGCTGTAGGACAGGAGGTACCAGTCAGTCCCCTTGTACTCTCTTCTTGGTTCCCTCCGTGCCTGCCTCTAGCCAATGTAGCACAGCAAGACAAAAAATAATTTAGAATCAGGCCTAACACACCTTCTTCTGAAGTGCTTGCTCAAGCAGAGATATACTATTTACCAGAGGTGCCCAGTAACACACCGTTAAGAAGCAAAAGCACATATCTGGACTCAGTTATTCCTAACAACACTGAGGATCATTCATTCCAGTCATTCACTAAGCCTGGCTGACACCACTGCTTTATTAGAAATCACAGCTGCTTTGTGAAAACTCATGACCTTTTTTTTTTAATTTTTTTTAACACAACATTTCACTTGATAATGCCATTTGCATCAATTGAAATCCATGCCACGGGGCTATATGCAACTCCAGCTCTTCAGTTAGTATAAATATAGGTGTCTGCAGGTGATGTGGATGTAGCCCTAAGGACCGGGTAAGCAGTAAAGACTGCTTAACACACCACTACAGCACGCAGAAAGCGATGCCAGCATTGCAAGAACAAGCACCTCTACGCCTGTGTTCCAGCTCCTGTGCACTCCGGAATGGCAGGGCAGGACTTTACTCTTTCTTCCTTAGTCATTAACAGACTAGAGCTCTTGCCTTACTTTCTTTTCTCTTACTGACATCTGCTCAAGCCAGACAAAAAGATGTAGGTGTCCAAAAGTTTGTAGGAGCTTGGACACAGAGACAGGCCTATTTGGCTTCAGTGAATTTATCTCATTCATAAAATAAACCCAGCAGTATTAAGAAATGCCCATCAGGGAAGTACACTCACCACTCGGGGTCGATTCTGCCGAAGGAAGCTCTTCATATCTCCTCCAGCCATGAGCTCCAGCAGAATGAAGCGCGGCAGCGTCTGCAGGCTCACCCCGATGCACTGCACAATGTTTTGGTGGCTGAACTTACTGCATACCAAGAGCACAGTAGCATGGAAGGCAGAAACAACATTAGTACCTGGCTGGCATCTACCGCACTCGCTGTTCTGCCTTGAGCTTGATGACCTGGACTGGAAGGAATGTCGAATACAGCACAGACTACCGAACAAGTCCCAGCTGCAGCCACATCAAAGTGCCTCTCCAGCTAGGAGAGCTCCAAGAGGCTGCTGCCTGGCTTTGCCCATCCAAGAAAACCTTTTTCGGAAGGTGTGAAAAGCTCAAAACAAAGCTCTCTGTCTGTGAAGAGATGACTTACTGGACACACTGAACAGCAGAGGAAGAGGTGAAAGGGAAAAGAAAATCACATACTTCTAATATCCAAATGTTATTGGCATTTGTGAAACAAAATCCTGTCCTGCGAAGATTTTATTTTAGCATTGGTTATCTAAATACACTGCTTCTTAGCTTGGTGGACTCAGTTCAGTGTCTAGTCTGCCAAAGAGAGCCCACCTAGTGCCTCCTGCAGCTGTGTGACAGCTTTTTGTCTCTTCTAAGAAAGCCGAGACTGTCAGCAAGCTCGGTAAAACCCAGACACTAGAAAGCAAGAACTTCCCTTGGATAGTGATTATCTGGGTAATGTGGGAACTGAGAATAAGAGGGAATTTGGGAGAGAGGGAGGGCCATGTTCTAAGTGAATCAAAGCGTTCTCTGATTATTTGATTGAACTGCTCTCTAAAAATCATCTGCCAGTGTTACCTCCTCAGCAGCTGCCACTCATGTTTTTTGGAGATTTTGGGAAGTTGCCTTATGAGATTCATTCTTGAATCTTGCTTTAACAAAAGAACAACAGCATCTGTGCGTGACCCAGGCCAGACCAGGAAAAGCAGAAGTAGTTATGGGAATGGCTCAATCCATTATCTCTCCCGGGCAAATAAGTTTTATATAGCTCATAGGTCACTGTCAGAGGCTCTTGCACATGAGACCTTACAGAGTTTCTCACAAGCTTTCAAAGACATCAAAAGATGGAGACATCTAAGAGAGGTGGCCTCTTCTTATAGGGCTGTATTCTCTCTGTGCCAGTTCCCAGCACATCTCATTCTATCTCAACCCCACAGAGTTTCCAGAGTACCTTACAGCTATTTTTATGTGAAGAAGGGCCAAAACCCAAGGATCTTCAGTGCACAAAGCACTTACTGATGACAAACAGATCTGTAGATAGGGGAAGCAAAGGGGCTGCATGTATGCTTAGCTGCTGCATGAAAGCTACACCATAAAAAGCTTTTTACACCTTCTTCAACTGTAAAACCTGTTCTTCTAAAAATGCCTCAAGATAACAGTTTAAACCCTAACATGCAGGTCTACAAGCTTAACTCCCTGGCACACAGCCTGTGCTGCACCACCCTGGTGCTGAGTGTTCATCCTGGATGACACTGGGCATTCGAGCTGCTGCACAGGTGGTGCTGATCTTCAGCTTTCCTTTTGCACAGACTGCTTTCCATTTCACCCCTGGACATTTAGTTTAACAAGGGCTTCAGGACATGATTTCTACTTAGTAAAATAGCTAAGAGATTCTTTGAAAATGAAAATATTTCACACCCAGAATGCACTTGTACAGGAATGTAACTTTTTACTTCTCTGAATGTGACCAGCAAAACCAGCCTGCAAAACTTTTTGTTGAGATGCCCATTTAAAAGAAACAGACACTTCGTCCAAGATGAACAAGTGACTGGAACGAGCAACTCGTACACCACTAAACTGCCATCTGGTGGAAAATAATAAGACTGGATTTCTTTACCAAACCCCAACAAATGGATTAATAATCATTACATTGCTCCTATATGCTCTGCGTGTTACAGGCATGAAAAGAATAATCTGTACCTGATTATCAATGCTTCCATGAGGAAATCCATCTCATCCTGCTCAGAGCAGACTTCTGGCAATGTCTGTTAAGAAGAAAGAATGTGGGGAACACCCCAGCAAAGAATTGAGAACACTGAGGGAAGCACTAATGAAAAAAAAATTGCTCTTTTAACAAAATTTAATAATATTATGCTCTCCCTGGTTGACTATTCCACACAACTTCCCATCTAGGGCAAGATTGTATCTCTCCCGAGCCTTGGGAATGGAGACTACAGAAGAGACTGCACCTCTAAGATTTTCATCCGAGTTCGCTCACAACTGAGAGGCCTTAAGTTTGCAGCAAACAAGACAGATGATTTACTTCCAACCTGCTGCTAGTGCCATGCAGCTTTAAAATCAAAGTTCACATATAACATTATGCATGTGAGGATAGTGGTTCTCTGATTGGAATGGTAATAAGCTAATAGAGCCCTTACAGGTACTATTAGTATATAAGAAATCTATGGGTATTGACCTTGATTGCTACTTGAAGAGGGTTGGGATCTCCTGCGATGCCTACCACTGTGCCCTCATAAACCTCTCCAAATGCACCATGTCCTAGTGCCCTGTGGAAGAAAAAAAAAACAGAACAGATGTTATTATGGTCTCTGATCCAGCACTGGCTGAGGTTTTCTTTTTATCCAATGCTACAATAGGTTTAGACCCTACTGTAAGAGATGGACTTGATGTCTGTTTCAGTTTATTCTCCAAGCCTCCCAAAGTAACTTTGCAGTTTCTCCCAGTGCCAACCCTGGGGAAACGAGATCATCAATAGTTCTGAACAAACAAAGCAGCCTGCTCAGGCCTAGCGTGCTGTCTGAAGTGTAGCAATAGCAGGGCAAGAAAGAGATTGGGAATAAGAGATAAGGAAGACTCTGAGTTGATATCTACGGGTGGTGCAAGAAGGATGATCAAACTCTTCATTCTAAGTTTTATATAGCTTTAACCAGCATCACCTGGATTGTATGGAGCATAAAAATTGCAATAGTGTGCACTTTAATGTGACAGAAAACATTGAAAAAGAAACAGTGCTCCAGACTTGGAAAGGAGCTGACACCAGGTGCTGGGTATTATCCAGGACTTGTTATATCCTGCTATCCAGGATATAAAAACACAGAGGTGAAATACACTCTGCTCTGAATGGTAACATAAACTCTCCATGGAAGAGAAGAGTCATGAGTTTATACCTCTGCTTGAGTTCTTTACTGGATCAAAATATCATTATTATATTATATGTCACATCTGCCATATTTTGGCTGCCCTGGACTCAGTGCTCAGGCCCTCCGCGCCTTGCCCTGGATGCTTGGTGGTGAACACAGCAGGCTTGTGAGCCCCACCTCGCTTTAGCTTCAGGCTGCCTCTCCCTTGCTGTGCCAGAGAGCAGCAGCTGGCCCTACCGAAGCAGAGAGATGTTCTTCCGTGGGATCTCCTTCAGCTCGCTCAGCGTGGCGGCCTTCCCTGCGAAGCAGTAGTTGGGGTTGTAATCTGTCATGATGGTTGATGTGCGGATTTTGCTCAGTTTATATTCTGGGCTTTGCAGTCGTGCTCTGGCTCCTTCTAGCTGCTGCTTCTTAAGGTGATAAACTGGATGGGGGCAAATAAAAATGCAAACAAGATTAAGACCTAGAGAAAAAAAGACAATATTTGCCATATAGAAAAGAAAGAAGAAGTCAAGTCAGTAAGTGCAAACGCTCAAGCAATGTTTTTAGCTCTCCAGTACCACTCATTTCCACACTTGGTAGTGTAATATAGGATAGGCAAACAGCCTTATCACTACTGAGTGCTTATCACCCAGAATAAGCTTTGGTGTCCTCTGCTTCTTCTGTCCTTCTGTATGTTAGCTAAGGAAAGGCTGGTCCACAAGGCACCTTGCTGGCACTCGGTCCCAAAAGCTAAGCAAGTGAAACACAGCAAGGGGCAGGCAAGACACCCATGATACCTGCCTGACCGAGTACTGTGTTAAACTGCAGACTGTAACTTCAATAGAGGTAGTAACTGTGGCTAAAGAAATGCCTGCTAAGAGACTTTGCAGACTCCTCTCTCTAGCAAATACCAAGTCAGGGCAGCCCTTGCTCTCTGGGACTTCTAATTGTGGGACAGTCATGTTTCCCATCACTTTTTGCCCTGTCACTCTGATCCACCTGGGAACCAACACAGTCTGGCTCCAAGTATTAACAGCAGTAGCATGTGTTTGTCCAGCCTCGCTGGGAAAAGCCAAGTCAAAGGATGATGAGGAGCAAGTGGAAAGATGCTTCTTACCAATGGACAGGCTGCCACAAGTGAGGACCATTCCAAGCACCACAATCATAGCCACCACGGCTAGGAGGAGTGGGAGAGGCAGGTGTCCCTCTGGGATAGGGCCCTGTGGTACTGGAAAAAAAAAAAAAAAGAAAAAGAGAGAGAGATGCATTAATTGAGAAGAAACCAGAGTTGCGTTTAAGAATTAATCCTTTTCAAGGATGCTTCTATTTCAGAAAATGACAAAGAAATCATGACCACACCTTTTAAAAGTTATAGCAAATCTCTTTACAGCCCTGGAGATGGAAAACATTTTAAAAATGTTAAAGAAATATATTGTAAAGATAAAATCTAATCAATAAAACCTAGCACCACTTATCCATTGCACAGTTTTCCTCTAATGGATAAAATCACTGCTCACAAGTTGAAACTTCCTTAGTCTTTATGCTTTGGAGTTCAAAAAGACTGTGTCAGGAAATAACAGTGAATACCAGGCATCAGCCAAACAGGAACAGCAGGAAACTGCTGTGGAAGTAATTTGTGGCTTAAATAACTCAGCCCTGGGTGACATATTATACAAGGGAAGCATTTGTGCTTCAATATTTGCAGATAAAGCAATCGCACCCTTTCAGGAAATTTATGCTGGGTCCTTTTCCATATATTTTATCTTTTACCTAGCCCAAACCCGAATTTTGGAGATGGTGACAGAGGTGCAGCTCAGTGTGTAAAGCAAGGACATCAGGAATTTTCAATCATTCGTTGGCCAGACATTTCTCAAAACACTGAGTTCACTGGAGCCATCAGCTGCAGCTCTGATTTGACTGTCAAAAGACCAGGAGAAAAGAACACAAAAGCTTCCAATGAGGATAAAACTCCACATTTTACCAGTGCAGGTGACGTTGTCATTGGCTAGCACAGCCCCTATCTCACACTGACAGACTGGCAGGTTGGTGTCAGGGTCCCGCTTACAGTTGTCCGAGTGGCAGTGACTGCAGTTCAGGTAGATCTGAACCTCCACCTCCCCGTGACTCTCCATGGCTAGATGAGGAATAAGAGAGGACAGGCAGGTTTAATTTAGCTTTTCCTATCTTGTTTAAATAAGGACACAAAAGGGCAGGCACTACCACTTGTCTCTTTCTTTGCAGGAGACCAAACAGTCCAAAAGTGTGGACACAAGTAGACACCTAACTGAGACCAGGAGGAAAAAAAGATTTAATCCCTCAAGTAGGCACAGAGGTTGTGAAGTGAATTGACATGAAAATGTCTGGGACTGAGGATGTGCAATTAAATTTGATGACTGGTGTCTCTCCTGGCTTATGAGAGAGACGGGAATAAGCAGCACAAGCACCTGCCATGCAGAGTGCAATATGCCTGAGTAAGATGTGTAAAAGGCAAGGACAGGAGGAGAAGGAGCAGGAAACACGAAGTAAAAAGGAGGCAGAGGAAAGAAGGAAGAAAAGTACTGCGGGGAAGAAGAAAAAGGGCACTGTACCTGCCAGGGGATGCAAGAAGATCTCTCCAATGGGGTTCACAAAAGAGATGCCATCCTGCCCACCAGCCGTGATATCATCATTAGCAGAGGCATGCCCCCCTGAGGAAAGAAAAGCCTGACTGCATGCTGCAAAACATCTGAAGTGCCCCATATTTTTCCTGGCTCTTAATGCCTGGGGGCATTCTACAACCTTCCAGTGATATTAATATGCATCATGCCCTCGTTGGAGAACACTCATCCAACCCAAGCACTCCCAGGGCTAGTGAAGTCAATTGATCCAATATAAGTTGCTCAGTTCAGCAAAGTAAAAATGTATTACCTTTCAATAGAAAAAAGAAATGGAGCATTTTCCACAGGCAACTTTGGGACAAAGGGATTCAGTATTCCTTCCGAATATGAAAACATATAGGCATATTTCTGTAACCCTAATTTCCCCACCTAAAGGATATGATATGAGGGTTTCATACAATTTAGCTTGAAGACTCTGTAAATCACTTTGTGGAGCAATCTTCCTCTGCACTGAGAGCTCCAGCCCCTAATTCTAGGTGCTCCAAGTTGCACAAAATTGGACAGCACATTTCTTCCTTTAGCAGACTTACCTCTGTAGCCTCCTCCACCTCCACCAGAAGTACAAGCTCCTCCTCCCCCACCAAAGCCACCAGAGGTGGCCCACTGGAGCTTGGCTAGTGCCTGGGGACAAGACCGACCCCCTTCGCCACCTTCCAGGAGCGACCTCCCAGCCTGAGGAAGCAGAGTCATGTCTTGCCAGCCGCCACCTCCACCTTTACAGAGAGTGAGAGAACAAAACAAGAACAGGTGAGGAAGCACAAGCAAAGGAGAGGATGCACTGGAGAGAGTTGGGGACTGGCTCTTATTAATTTCCTAAGATATACCTGTGTGCAAGTTAACTCTTTCTTAAAGAGAAGAATACAGACAAGCTTCTTTTGCTATAGACAGTAACACAGAGGAAATCTAGTGCAGGATCTATTGGTACCTGCTCTATGATAAGCATCTAATCCCCAGCTTCTAGTGCTATTGGGAAACAGGCAACCCAGCAGCTCGCTTTGGGAGAACTGGTTGGGATAACTCAGCCCCTGGAGAGCAGCTCACTTGGAGAAGCTGAGTACTATGGAAGAAATAAAATCTAAACTGGACTTCCTCATCTCCTCCTAGAGAATTCTACACAGAGTTATAGAGCAAGACATGGAGAACCATTTTTTTTTTTTTGGTCTCCTAGGAATGGGTTGTAAGTACAGCTGTCACACAACTACAAATCAGGTTTGATTTCTGGGATAATTCCAGAAATGCACTTGTTCTCTGTGTTTTGGGAGAGAAGAAGTCTCATCTTCTCTACTGATTAAAAGCCATTACTACACTGTGGAGGAGGGCATTCTACTCCCAAAATAGCATTTTCATTCTGTGACTTGTTTCATGGAGAGCAGGCCCCTCATACAGAAACAGACTCTCCTGCAGCACCTTCCTGCAGCACCTTCCTCATCTTCCCTGGGCGTTCCCTCCTGCTAACACACCTCACGAGAAGACATCCTTTACGGACTGTCAGCATATTTATAACAACTGCTGTCACAAAAATAAATCCAAAGGATCAAAGGGGAGCCTCTTGTTTCACGCCCACAGCACAACTCATACATTCAGCCATCAGCCCCAGAACTTGTCTGGTTTTAGTGTCTCACCTGCTGCCCCAGTATTGCCACTGACTCCAGGTACTGCAGTGCTGTTCTCAAACTGCTCCAGGGGTGCATCATCTAGGGAGCTCTCCTGAGCCTTCAGGTAGGCTTTCCCTCCTCCTCCTGCTGCGATGAGCAAAGGTTCGAAAATCCCATTTTTCTGCTGGAAAACCCCCCATCAAACATCAGAAAAACTTTACATCCCTTGGATATGTGAATTCACACAACTCATTGCATTGAAAAGCATAAAAGCAGCTTAAAGGACAATGGCCTGAGGCCAGGACATTGCTACTGATTGTTTCCTGACTGCATTACAAAGATGTTCTACAATGTGCTTCTGTGTACAAAGTAAGTGGTCTTGTTCCATTAAACACCAGGGATTTTTTTTTTGGTAGGACTGCTGCCAGTATTAAAGAGGGGTCCTGGTCTGATTCCCAGGCCTGAGCTGCCAGAACTGAGGAAGCAATTCAACTTGTTTGGTGACTGTGACAAGTACAATCAAGGATATGAAAAGCGATAAACAGTTTGAATTTAAAAGATATAAAGGCAGAGAGCGGAAGACAGAGTGGGGCAGATGAGCTCCTTCTTTATCACCTTCTTGTAAGAACTGAGAGGGTCATGCAACATGACAGTGAAAACTAGCTGCCCTGCTGGACACTGCCCAGGCAGGATGGAAAGAGAGAGAACTTACTCTGAAGATGTAGGTGGCTCCTCCTCCACCCCCACCTCCTCCAGCCCACTCCTTCAGGTCCTTTTTCTTTTTGTAATCTTCCTCAATGAGAGATGACTCCCCTAAGCAGATCTTCTGGGTTTGAGGATTGCCCTGAAAGAAGACAAGAGATGCACTCCTTCATCAGCAAAGTCCAATTCTTAAGAGTTATCTGTATCTCTCAGGATAATAATATATTGTTTGAGATATATATATGTATATGTATATATATACATATATGATATACATTATCTGTGTGGACAGAAAGCTCAGGGACCAACACATGGACCAACAGCTGAAAGAGGAATCTGTTACCTCTGATTTACAAAACTGCATTACACATTCAAGTGAAAATACAAATGCTCTCCCCACCACCCCCCACAAAATAGCATTGCAGCAATAACTCATTATCAATATCACAAACTCAGGTTTTGCATATTTACATCTTTTTATATCCAAGAAAATTCAAGTTTGATTGAACTATGGATTAATTTTAAGAACATCCTTACTGATGCACTTAATAGATATTTCTAAGCTTTGTAAATACAAGGCAGGTAGCTCTGCACATAGTTAAGAGTGAACTACCTCAGGACAGAAATCTGGAGCCCCTCCTTCTCATTCCCTAGATTGAATGAAGATTGTTTGGCAGTCTTAGATTTTTTTGGGTGTGAAGGTGAGTTCCACAAATGGCAATAACTTGGTGAATTTGCTCAGCTTTATCCAGACAGTGAATTCTGGGTGGCTTCAGAAACTGCTGTATTGTTTCAGTACAGGTGGACTCCCCACACGTGTTTGGTCACGTCCATGTCAAGGTCAGAGGCAATGCACCAGTTCTGCTCTCTCCTTTTAGTCAAAGGGCAGGGGAGCTGAGGACAAGGGAAAAGCAGTTGGGACAATGTAGAGGGGATGAAGGCTTAGAGCTGCAGAATTTGTTCAGAGAAAGGAAAACAAACACATTTGTTACCTAACATACAGAGTCAGCAGGACTTCTGAAGCCAGAGACAGCAAAGGTTGGGCCAAGAGGGCAAAAAGAAGGGAAGATATTTCCAACAGCAGCATCTGCTCCTGGAGGGAGGAGCTAGTGCATGGAGATAGCTAGTGTAGGGAGATACCTTGCAATTTGGAGAATAGTCCATGAAATCCAAGGGAATACAGGAGACCTATGAAGATTATGAACCAAGGCTAAAGAATGCATTAGAGTGAGGGCTGCAGATATACAAAGGTATGCTTCATTTAGATCTAATTCTTGTCCTATCCAAGTGAAGAAGGACTAGTTTTGGAATCTGTTGCAATATTTTATCATAATTGCAAACTCATTAGTGGACAAAATTTGGGAGAGGATAAACAGGAAGAGGAATAATCCTCTAGTGCTCTAGGTGCCCCTGCTTGAGCAGGGGGACTGGACTAGATGATCTCTAGAGGTCCCTTCCAACCTAAACCATTCTGTGATTTGAGTAAGACATCATATATTCTGGGTAAAATAAAGAGCATCTTAGAATGCCTGCAAGAACAGTGTGCATCCCAAGCTCAGCAGTCTGTGTGAGGAGCAGCGTTGCTCCCAGGCACAGGCCGACAGACTGTTTTTCTGGAAAATGAAACTTAGGCTGAAAAGGCGTAGTCTTTGAGCCTAACTGGTAAAAGGACTTTTAAAACATGAGTCTAACATTAGGGAACACATCTATAAGCATTCACAAAATCAATTTCTCTTCTCCTTGAGTGCTTCTTTGTCATTGGGTAGACATAACTAAGGAGCTGTTACAGTCAGTGGGAAGAATCCCAATGCTTTTGACAGGCTTGGGATTCAGCCCTTGGTCTCTAAGCTTAGAGACTACTTAACTCGGTGCAACCCCCTCACTGCTGGGGGCTTGTAGAAACTCCTGAAATTAACAGAATATTATCTGAAATCCTGGCACACAGAAAGAAATCTAGACTGTCAGAAAATAAGACAAGGAGAACATAACTCTTCCCTAGTAGATTCCCTCTTAAAACAAGCAGAAGAAAGCTATGAAGAATTTCTTATTTTAAACATGAGGAGCTTAAAGCAGGGTTCCTGTGGGTTTTGTATTTGTTTGTGCATTTTGGGATGGTTTCTGATTTTAGAGTTCTTTATATTTATTTTGAAAAGATTCTTTCTAACTTGGCTCCCTGGTTCCTCCTAATCTCCTGATTGGATTTCATGGCTGAATCCTGCAATTTCCATCATTCATCACCAGTACAGCCAAACCCCAAGCCACCCACTGACTCTTGCTGACTCTTTCTGCAAAGCCTCTGCCCACATGTGTTTGTGCAGCCCTCACCCCAGGGCAGGCATCCTCCCCCTGCTGCCCCACTAAGATGTACAGCAGCTCATCTTTCTCAAGCTGGAAGGTGGCCGAGATGAAGACCCCGTGGGACCTCTTATTGTGGTTCTTGGCTCCCTTCCCTCCAGCTGCTCCATAGGCAGAAATCCTGGAAGAAAAAGGAAGTAGTTAGAGACAGAAATCTGACACTTTTCATCCCCAAAACAACTCCTGCTGTGAGCTCCCCCAGCCTGCATTCCCAGCCAGACAAGATCCCCTCCACAGCATCTCACAGCTGTTCCTTTTTTTGAGGTCCACACTATGTCTTCTCAAGAGGATGGGCTGAACCATAGGCAGAGCACTGGGGACAGAGGCTTCAGGAATAAACAGCATGAGCTGTTAAAGACAAACCTAACAGATCAAGGCTTTGGGACTGAAATATCAGCAGCATTTCCACTTGACCTCACCTCCACAACCACTTCTGCTCTGATCTGTCACCACTGCTACCCTTCCACACTTCATGGTGACTCAGACACACATGTGGACAGCCAGCACTCCCAGTTCTCTCTTGCTTCATGGGTCCCTTCAGAAATGGTCCCACACTTATGTTAGCTGCAGCTCCACAATCAGAAAGTAGTTAAGTGGTTGTCTCTCCAGCACAAACTAATACTGACCTGTATCGGTTTGTGGCTGGCACTCTCCAGACCTGCACTCCTCGAAGGCTGCCCTCTTTCTCCACAGCCACTGACACGTTGCTGTCCTTGTAGGCACTGTCACACTGGGCCTGAGTTGGCCCATGTGGACCACTGGCACCACACGTCGTGAACCACCAGAGAACAACGGATGTGTCCCCTGGGATCAAAACAGCAAGAGTTGGGACAGACATCAGCTTCTCTTTATTTCCCAGGGATGCACAGTAGCTCACAGAACTATGTAGCCAAAGGACAAGTATCATGAAAACAACAATAAAAAATGTCCTTGTTGATAGGCTTCTTTAGTAAACAAGCTGGAAGCTTATTCAATGACAAACTTCACTTCATAGATATTCACAAACAACATTAATGATTTTTATATAGAAATTGGATGCTCATGAGAAAGACCACGTTGAAGCAGTACCTGCTATTTGCAGGGCTTTAAATCCAATTATGCTCATTTGATCACATGCTTAAACTTATAATCATCATTCATGTGATGGTGAACTATCAAAAAAATGCATTTATAATCCGAGGTCTCCAAAGCCAGTGCATTCTGAAGTTTAACCTGTACAGCTTCAGTGCAGCTCCTTTGTAAGACAATCCACTCTGATACCATCCTTAATTACATCATCACACAGTATTTTTATCATACTATTCCAGCTTCATCGTAGTTATAGCACAAATAGTGGTCTGCTTATTGTTACTATTTGCTTTATTTCTCTCACTTTATTTCTTACACACTATTTAAAAAATTACAGACAGTAGATAAACCCGTAATTTTCCTTGCAGGATTCTGATGCGTTTTAGCCAAGCGTTTCAAACACATTTATAAATTTCTCTTCTCAGTGCCAGTATGATGCAAGGAGATATTACTTCAGCTTTCCAGACGGGAACCAAAGCATCTGCCAGTACAATTAGTAACCATCTATGAAAGGCTTGGGTTTAAGCAACATGTCTAGGGCTTGCACAGCCTTTGCTAGCAGCATCAATAGGCAGGGCAGCATCTTCCTACTCTCACTAGGTTCCTTTTTTCTCCAAGAAAACTTATTTCTCGCTCTCATTGCTCTTTGTAGTTTCTGCAACAATGCAGCGAATAATCATTTCTTGCACTGCACAACTCTTTTTCAAGCACCAAACAGGCCCATCCTGTCCAGTGATCCTGTCACAGCTGACAGGTGACAGGGCCTAAGAATACAGCTACTGGATAATGCAACTGAAAACTACCGTGCAGTGCATGCTCAACAACCAGAGGCAGGTGGCACAGGAAATGCCACAGTAGAACTCTCTAAGTGCTAAATGATAAAATAGTAAATACCAGAAGCAGTAAACAGCAAAACAGTAAATAGCATAAACTTTTTTAAAGCTTATAATTGGATTTATAGAAAAAGGCAAGGAAAACTATCCCTAAATGTTCCAACAGATGTCCTCCTGCTGACACACAGATTGTTCAATGGGGTGGGAGCACCACTTCAGAACTCTCTGTCACTTGAGCTACTACAGGAGCTTGAGAGCCGTAACAGGTTGTCACCTTCCGGGTGGACTCAGTCTTCAGGCACCAGAGCAGGCAGTCACAAACCTGTATTTGTGGGCAGCCCAGCAACCTGAAGACATAAGAATCCTGCATTTCACTGCAGGCTCTGAGGTGAAATATGCTTCCTTAGATCCTCATTAGACTTCTGCTTGTGCTCCAGGTTTGGTATGCCCTGTCTTGTCCCCCTCACACTGCCTGTGCCTCTTCCCTATGACTGGCTCTACAGGAATCCCTAGGCTCTCTGACTGGGCCAAGCGCAGCCTCCCTCCTCAGGCCTTCCTTTAGCCACACAGACATTATCTGTGCTCCAGAGTGCCAGCCTCTACCGTTGCCTGCACCCTTTCTGGATTCCCATCTCTATACTGCCATTGCCCACCAACCCAGCTCAGCTCAAACTGCTCACCAAGTCTCAACAAATTTCTGCCCATCCCCAGCTTATGGTACTGCTCCACACCTTTCCCTCCTGGCCTCGTTTTTGCCCATCTGCACTTAGGTCAGGTAGCTTCTGCTTTTATACTCTTTAGGGACTGGTCAGTTGGGCTCCAGCATCCTGTTGCTCTCTAACAAAGCACCGACTACTTGATGTGGTCTTCTCATCTCCAGGATGGATCATATTTGCTCTTTTGCTCCAGGGCAGCCAAATTACACACAGGTGATGGGGAAGGAATTAGCTTTATAGCCATAAGACAGGTTTTCAGTATAGAAGGATCTACCTGGGAGGGAGGGTTCCTCCAGCGGATTCAGGAGATGCTCATCCAGGACACTAACTTCCCGTGGGTACTGGCGCTTCCCACCAAAATGGCTTTGTTGTCTTCCTGTTATAGTTTGTGGAATGGATGACAGATGGGAGGGCAGTAACAAAGAGAGATGGAAAATTCATAAAATCACATGACTGAACCAAGTATAACCATTTGGTTAAAACAAAGAAAGGCTTCTTTGTATAGAAAATGTGTGTATTTATATTATTCTTTTGGGTCCACATCTTGGCTTAGCTCTGCATGTTATCCCATGAAGTCAGACAAACTTGGGGAAAAGCTTGGGAGAATGGATACCATGTATTGGTGACCTGTTGTCCATGGGGCAGGTGACAATGCTGGGCAGTAAAATCACTGAATGAAAGGAGAGTGATCACAAAAATTATCACTGATTCTTAATGGCATCATGGTAGGTAAATCAGTCTAATATATCACTTCCCTCTCACCAACAAACTTGGAGTATCCCAGAACTTGTACAGAAAATAAAATTCAAACCAAAATGACACATCTCACCAACATGAACAGTTAAGAAGCAGCAGCAAGCCCTGACATAGCTGTAAATCTTTAGACAAACCTTTTTCAGAGAATGATTAAGGCTGGAAGGGACCTTTGGAGATCATTGAGTCCCATCCCCACAAAAAAAAAAAAAAAAAAAAAAAGAGCAAAAAGCTACATTTCTGAACATTGAAACAAGCCTTTAAAAACAGGCCCTCTCTGTGAGAGGAGGAACTTCAGAGTATTTGCTATCTAAAGCAGAGAATGCGGTAGGAACACATCTGAAACACTGAATGCGCTAGGAACTCCACGTATAACTGAAGCTGCCTTACAACAGGAAAATGTAATAACTTTTCCTTGGCCTTACAGTTGGCGAACATCCTATTTCTACAGTTAAATTACATATTTTTTGCAGACTTTTGATTAGCACTTTTCTGTTAAAAACAAGACAGACTTCCTTCCATTTTATGGGCCCTTGCTTAATTTAATAGCGAACATTTTTCGTTAGTTGAAAAACATTAGAAATGTTTCAATTTGTTCCAGTTGTGAGAATCTAACAGCTGTTTGATACTCTGTTCAAAGGAGACTCAGCCAGTTCCAGCTGCGCAATTATCTCTGCCACAAAGCCACAGCTCTAAATAGCGATAATTAACACCCTTGTTAGCTGTGTCAGAGGGGCCAAATAAGTAATTGAAGCATGGTGACCTTGCTGAGCTCTTACTCTTGAGAATATTCCCCCCAGGTCTGACTGAAAGCACACTGGTAGATGAAGTAAAAGGAAGCTTTGTACTGACACACTCTGTTCATACAGAGATAGACAACTTCAATGGATGGAGCTGTCAAGCCAGCAAAAAATGAAATTACCTCAAAACAAATGATCTGGATCAAAGACAAGAAGGAAAACCAAACGAAAAAGACGACACATAGCCAGAAAAGATGCCTGGTCTCCCAAGGCATTCACTGAATTATGAATTCCAAAGGTCACAACAGTTTTGGATGCTTAGGATTGAACAAGAAGCCCAGTTTCTTTTGCTGGAGCGAAGGAATGTAATTCAGTTCCTGAAATACAGACTTAGTCAGTGTGTCTGCATGGATTTTTTTACAGCATCCCAACTGAGTCTGTCCTAAGGCAATGCTTCATTTCCAAACAGTCTCTCCTCCTTTTCTAAACAGTCTCAACCTTCTCACACTGGAAAGAAGCTTCTGTCTCCATCATGATCAGCAGATAAGCTGTGTGATAGGCTGAGTGTCAGTCTGTCCACATGAGCTGTTACCTCTTAGAATGCTTCATGCATTGCCAGACATGTAAATTTGTAAGATGGCATTTTCTAGTAATATGGTGTAGCTGTGGGATCCAGGGCCTAGTGCTCCAGCCTATTTTTGCTTCCACTTGTGTCTCTAACAGTCAAGACACTGAATGTTAAGTGAAAACAAGGGAGCAAGACCTTTTTCTACTAACGTGCACTTGTAGGAGAAAAATCTGAAGAGCAAGGGACTCCTTTTCTCCAGGACTGGAGAAGGATAGAGGGAAAAGTAAAGAAGACAGATAGATAACTCCTTCAAGAACAGAGCCAAAGTGAATAGCTCCTACTTCTCTGAATCTGAGACTCTAATGAGAAGTATATAGTATCTCTGGTGCAGGCTGGAGTACTCCTGAACTTCTCTCCAGCTTGTCCAGCAGTGGAAGAGGGAACGAGGATGCTATGCCAGCTTCCGTTATGCCAGGATGAGCTGTTTAATTTTTGTCTTTATCAATGTCCCCTGAGCTACCCCCACTACTCCCTTTCTTCTGCCTAAATTTACTGAATCCTTTGCTTGATGTCAATGAGTACAAAACACCTCTCCTTCCTTCCTGGCTTGCATACATATAAGCAGTGCGTTTAAAGTCTGCACTGGATTTTTTAGAGCAATTAAACTACAGGATTGAAATAGATGAATAAATTAATATATATATCCTAGCAAACAGCAAATTCTTCCTTCCTGCCATACGTCCTTCCTGTTGCCCTCATGCGTAGAAATCACTGCTTGGATCTTAATCGGCTCCATCAGTGACATCTGAAGCCTCTCCTTGCCAGGGAGAGATAACTTCATTACGGAATACCCAGCAGAGCTCCTAGGCTTCTCCGCAGCATAACTGAATTAAACTCATGAGAAGACAAATGCAGGGGCCTTGCTTTCAGAGGCGAGAAAATGCCAATTTGCAAAGAGGATTCAAGGAATAGTGGCAAGTGTAGGGCTTCTGAGAAATATTTTTCCTTCATGCTGTCCTCCTGCATGAGTCACACATCTCTGGGTCACACCTTCAGACAGGGTAAGTGGCTGCCATTCCTGTAAGTCTGTACCAATTTATACTAATCAAAAATGAGAAGCAACTTGGGAGCTGGGAGCTCTGATAAACGTTGCTTCAGTGGCATTTCTGCCTCTCCTATTTGCCAAAGCTCACACCCCTATGTCACGACCAACAAAATGCCTATGGGTGCACTGGTCATTTTAGTGCAGAGCTCAGTGCTCAGTTCAAGCCATCTGAACTGGTGCATTAGGGCAAAAGCAACAACGTTGGTGCAGAGGTCTAGTAACACGAGCAGCCCTGTTGGCTCTCCGGAGGGCACTAAACTGCAGCAGTGGGGAGAGCAGCTGCACAAGAGGTCATGGGGAATCCCTCCCTTCACTGTCCTCAAAAGATTTCAAGACAAAGTATTAGCATTGGGGTCTCAATTGGCTTTTCTCCCTCCAGGAGAAGCCAGTTTCTGATATTTCCAAGTGATACAAATATCCAAGTTCCTTCCACTCCTCTGCTATGTAAAGTCACCTATTTTGCTAAAATGCTTCAGAGGGTAGCATTGGCTGCATTTTTAGTGGCATACATTGTGATCCATCACATTTGCAGTAAAGAAGCAAAGGATAGAATATATCTGCTATATACGTGGCAGTGACATTTGCTGCATCTCCTTGTAGAGTAAAATAAACTTGTGGCAATAATCTAAACTCTTCTATGAGAAAGAAACTTTATACTTTCATCTTCCTCCTTTTGACTTCTAAAATATGACTTTCCATGTAGGTTTCAAAAATTCCCTTCAGCTATCCATTGCCAGGGAACACTGGTCACACAGGTCTCAACTATGCTATGCTATCTCAGATTAGGGAGCCAAGAAAAAGTGCTAGGACAATCTGACGCACTGCAAAACTGCCTCTATTTGCAGGTCTGAGACAAAATGCCCTTGTGTGGTGAAAGTTAACACAAATGATCCAAATACACTCTCTAGAGGGAACAGCATGTGTGTGTCCTGGACCTGTGGGATGCCAATTACCCTGTCCAAATTCTTTAAGGGTCTGCAATGTGTGGCTCACCATCAGTGAAGCAGTCGAGTCCAAATGTAATATTGTCCACAGCAATGTCAGCTTGAGAATTCCAGCCCCACGTTGCCAGCAGTTGCAGGTGAAACCTTTGCAACAAGACAAGAGTTTTAGAAAAGACAGACAAAGGGGTGGCAGGGAGGAACCTTTAAAATGAAATGTTCCTTCATCATGCAATCATGATAATCACCATTTAAAACATTTTCTCCAGACAATCCAAGCTGAGCAGCCCAAAGGATTTGCTAGAAAACCTGCACACACGCATCAGCAGATAGTAAGTAGAAGTATGGACAGTAATCCATATTCAGATAATACCAGTTTTCATGAGGAAGAATAAAATCCATGTTTCCCAGCCACATGCACACATGGACAGAAAAACAAGCTGCCATCCTTCACAACATTCATGGACAAACAATTATCCTTGTCCAACTCCTAACAGTAGTGAGGGAGTTTACATGTGCAAAAACACAGCAAGAAAGAATCCTTTCCCAAGAAGACAGCCAAAATAAAAACCGAGCATAACAGCAACATCCTAGTAGATATGCATCTTAGACATGATTCTCAGTGAATGCATGTAAGTGTAATAGCAGGTAGTACCAAATTAATTTTAGCTGAAGGCCAGGCCATTTTAAATTCTAGCCATAACTCCCTGAAATGCTCCCTTTCTGGGCTCTCTCATCTTTTTCAGCATGACCAGGTGTTGGCTACTTATCTAGTCACATATCATGTTTACTGCCACATTCTGAATTCCCAAGGAGAAAAGAAAATGGGCTGAAGGGTCTCTTTTCAATGGATAGGACTGGTCTCCTTTCAATGGATAGGACTGAACTGTGTTTGATTTAACTTCAGAAATAAACAGATGTCTCATGTCCAGTCCATTTAGACATTATTAAAAGCATATGGAGAGGACCTCTACTGCTGTCACTGGTGAAACTCAATCAAGATTTATGGGAGATCAAGTAGTGACTTGACTAACATATTAATCATTCAGCCTAGAACATGCTTGTCCCAAATTAGTGGCAAAAAGTATGCATGTATATTCCACCCACCAGCCAAATGTTGGTCCAGATCCACAGCTGATGTAATGGGGCATAGCTGCTTTAAAATCTGTAGGGACAAGCTGCTTTTATCCCAACTTGAGAACGGATCCTTACGCTTACAAGAAAGAGTTCACACCCACAGGACTGGGCTCTGTGAGTGATAGTGTTGTTGCAGCACATGCCAATCGTGGGGCCTTGGATCACCCTGCTCTTTCAGCTATGGGATGACTAGAGGAATTTGACACAGGAGCCTTTTCCAACCTAAACCTGCTTTCCTTATTAGCAGATTCAGCAAAATGCCTGCGCTTTCAGGCCTTGTGTATAACTCCACTGACACAAAACAGCACTTCCTCTGGCCATGTGATAGAAGATGAAATCATAGCAGGAGGAGGTCAGGACACTGACCACACAATAAATACAGCACCACAGTCTACCCCTTAATTAGAGACCCACATGTCAGTGTATCCTGGTCACAGCAATCTTGTGTGCTTGGTCCATAGAGCTAGAGTGGCAGGAGGGCCACAGCACTGCACTGTAAGGTACATTTCTGCTCTAGCTGTACAAGTGGGAGCTTGGGAATGACCCCCTCCAGTGCGGGAGAACAGACATCCCTTATTCTCAGGGCTCTGTATGTCTCCCTTTCCTTGTAAATTCAGAAAGAGGAGGAGAATTTGCCTTTCGAATCCTGTGTTGTGCAGCCAGAAGGGCTTCAGGTATTCCTCTTAATTGAGTTCATTTTGCTAACACTAACATATTATACTCTCCACCTCTCTGGTCTTCTGCCTTCCTGATTTTTTTCTAATAGAACCTGTTTTCCCTGTGAACTTAAGCAAATTAATTTGCCAGTTGACCACCAAAGGCAGTTTTCCAAGTAGCTAGATGCCCAGCTGGGAGGGTGATCAGCTGTGTAATTTGTCTTCCACCTCCCCTCATTTAAGAAATAAATGCACTAGATTTGGGCTCATGCCAAAAAATACCTTAATCCCCTGCATGACCTCTTCCTACCTGCCAAGGCTTCTCTCCTTCTGGCCTCACCAATACATAAATGTCTTGCTACACCAACTGTGGGTTGCAGTTCTCCTCTCTCCCAACCTGTCCCCTCCCAACCATTTTGTTACTATCATCTCTTCAAGAAACATGGAGAAAAAAAAAGAAAAAAAATACCCTTTCATCCTTTCTCAGGGACAACAAAAGAAGGACAGTAGTTCCCCAAAGAATCAGAATAGAGTGTCATGCCAGTCCACACCATGCTAAAAATTTTCCTAAGTACAGCACTGCTGGACTTGCATTACAGAGGAAAGCTGGCAGCACTCATAAATATACAGAAAAGTCATTCTTGAAGATTTACACCAAACTGTATTATTAAGTTTCTACACTGATGTTCAAAATAAGTCTCGGATTACGGTTGCCTGAAACTTTTCCAAAATTGAACCAGTTTAGGCTGAACTTCCCTTTTTTGGGTGACTGGGGTAGCATTTTCACAGCAATCAAATGTTTCACCAGTGTTGAGAATGAGGCAATGCAGGGATGCATCACTTTGGTCATGCTGGAAAATAATGACAATGTCTAAGTATACTCCATGCTGCCAAGAATTGGAGTCAGGATCTGAAATTTGTGTGGAAGATAGTCTTGCGGTACTGAGTCTTGTGACAACCTTTTTTGCCATCTCCATGAAAATGTATTACATTTTTCAACAGTTATCCTTGAAAATTTAAAACTCCTGACATTTCCACATGCTTGGAAGAACTTTTTAAATCCTAAAAAGTCTCCTCTGCCTTGGTTATCCCTAAGATGGAACAGTACTTTGCATGGGAACTAAGCAGTACTTTCCATGGCATTACAGCTCTGAACTATGTCAGGTTCTGCTTCAGCTACATGAGAGCAAAGAAAGTACCCTTCCAAATTTACAAATATATATTTTATTCCCCAGCACTACTTCCTTTTGCTGAACTTATTAGGCCTATCTTTTTCAATTTATAATATTCACTAAATAGACTCTGAGGCTTGTTCATCTTTTTGCTTGTTTGCTTGATAGAAGTATCACGTGAGAGAGGCTCTCCTGAGGAAGCAGCAAAAAGCAGAATGGAGCACTTGAAAAATCACTTGTGTGGTGCAAACAAACCCCAGCTGCCAACACCATTACAGGACTTGAGATCAACTGACACTAAGCAGAGGAAGAGAAATATCTGATTAAAATAGATTCAGCTGAAATTATTGGAATCTTCAATATTTGACTTGTTTTATAAAGTCAACATCACTCCTTATTTTCACATGTGAGATGCTGACACACACTTTTCTGCAAGGCTGATTTGGGCCACAGCCTTTTGTTGGGAATGTTGTGCCAGTGATGTGGCAATGGATGATCTCCAGTTGTCCAGGCTGCATTGACTAGCACAGACAGATGTACTGCCTTAACTGTAGTTTTTCTCTCTCTGGTAAAATGTTTCTAGGGTAGACACTTGTTATTTCCAGTACCTAAACACCAAGCCTTCCAGTACACACATCTGCAGTCTTATGCCTACCAAAGCTGAGTATGTGCATGTGCACATGTGAAACAAGGCTTCCTCAGTAGGCTGAATTGCTGTGCTCCTCTGTTTACTTTTCTTTAGAAATGGTACTTGAAGAAGACACGAATAAAAACGGTGCTTCACAATAAAGATATTAGGAGCTTATTAGACTTCCAGGAAAATTCCTGGACGCTGGCAGTTGGGGACTCACCGGTTCTGGAGCACTGGCATCGGTAAAGTGATGAGAAACCAGTAGTCACTCCAGCTCCCTGCTTTTTCCCACATCTGCAAGGTGTTTGGCACTCCCTTTGTCTCTTCCCTGATAGAGAAGGAGATGGTACCATTGTAGCTGCCAAAAACATGCACTGAGAATTGGACCTGGAATAGAGGAAGAAGAGAAAAAAGAGGATATCCTCTGATAAAAGAGGAGTGACTGCTCCCTCCCTGGGGATCTGAGATACCGAACCTATAACGCTGGGTCAAGCTGTTTAAGTGTACATGCCACTAGTTCCCCCAGCGTTTGTTCATGGCTTATCACTGTTCCTAGAACAGAATTTTCTTGGTGGGGATATGAATTGGCATTTGTGTTGCAGAGCAGATTTTCAAGCGCTAATGACAGTATCCATTGTGGCAGATGTCACCTAGCTGAGGGAGCACCAGTTTCCATTCTATGTCCTTCAGGAACAACAAGCAGCAAAGCAGGCTTTACTGTAGAACCTCTTTATCACTAAATGCTTCTGTTAGTCACACATTTTACAAAACAATACCAAACACATTCCTCCTCAGAGTTCTCACCAGCTTAAAGTTTCATGGGAAAGGGCTTGAACCACAGCTCAAATCTCTGAAATTTCTCATTGCAACCATATATAATCTTACCATGTCTAGTTGCCTTCCCCCTTTGAAATTAAATAAGACTCTGAGTAAAAGCTGACATTCACCTATTCCTGGGAAGTCTGATGGCCCATTAACTTCATGCTCCTGTTCTCAGTGAAGCTCTCAAATGTGTTAACTGCCACTTACCTATAGTAGAATTTAGGAACAAAACTCTTAACAGCAGCTGTGAACAAAACTAAGTGGATAAACAGCCTAGGTAGCCAGCTCCCTTTCCTACAAAACCAAGGTCACTCCATAGGGTGCAGGTGTTGGGCATCCTTCGGAGGAATGGTCAGTAAAGCTAGGCTAGGGAATTTATCCTCATTTGTGAGTAGATTTGGGGCTCTTCCCTTCTCTTGGTAGGGTTGCACCTCATGTTTCCTTTCTGGTGTTCAACAGTCAGCTAACTGGGCAGTATAGTCAGTTCTTCTGCTTTCCAGTATTTTGTACAGCATGTAGAGGAACACGGAGCATGACTACACTATCTAGAGAGTGCCCACAATCTCAGGAACAGCTCCACAGAAATGCTAAGAGCAGAGGATTTTACCTGGTAGTCTTCAGTGGCAATATTGGCTGGCAAACTGGTGCTGTAAGCCTTGGCTGTGCCACTGGTCTGATTGCTGTCTGCTCGCAGGTACAGAAAGTGTCCTACAAGCAAAAAAGTGAATCAGAAAACACAAGAGTCATGCTCATTCCGTCTACAAGAAATATCTATTGTTAGATGTTCACCTGCTGAACGCATATATTGATTCATAAACACTTGATTTCATGAGAAATTTACAAAAGGAATCTGTTTCATATTTCCCTTTTCCATACTTTCTTGAAATAATTTAACATCTCTTTGCCGAAGCATGACATAAGTAGGAGGATATAGTGGAAACTACTTAAAGGCTTGACAGCAGATCTACCATTGAGGCAGTTAACTTGGATATAATAAATACTAAAGGAAGGTGGATTTTATCAGCACAAAAGTCAACATACCAAATCCTCTCCTGAAATATGAGTGCACAAACCTCACACACCGCTACACATAGAGAGGCTCACAGCAATCTACAGTGAACTCTGTCTTCAGCCATTATTCCTACACAATGAGCATCAAAAATAAATCAATCAGACAAACTGTGAACCGGAAGAGCTTATCTGTAGTCTTTGTTCCCTGGAACCGGTTTATACAAGTTCTCAAGACACAAGAAGGACATTCATATATGGACACCTTTCATTTCAACAGGGAACAATGACCAAGACCCACCTGTGCTGCACCTCTTTTTTATTTACCAAGCTAGCATTAGGGGAATTGAATCTGACTCATTATTGCAGTTTCCTATAGCACGAAATGAGCTTGAACACTTAGTCTCAGGATAGACTTATGTGTTATGCTCTACCTAATCTTTGAACCAACTGGCAGTCTGGAAAGGTCTCCAAATAGCTCACAAGACGGGGGGACGAGGTATACACAGAGAGAGGAGAATTCATAATATAATTCTTTTTAAAGAATTTTCAATTTTCTGTTAGCTCTGCGGCTGAACTTGCTCTATGTAAGGCTTTGACTCATAGTAAAAAGTTAACTTCGTTTATGCTTCAAAAGTGTTCTATACTAGATGTTCATTGAAACTAAAGTTAATTTGGCAGTGGAGATGCCAAGAACATTAAATGAATTTTAAAAGCTAAGGTTGAGGGAATGATATATACACATATGTACACACAATAAAAGAGCACTATGACAAACCTACCTCCAGTGGCTTGCAAGGTAGACCCTATAAATGGGGCTTCTTGAATCATTTTGGTAAGGCCCCTAATAGACCAGGTGGATGCTACAGTGCCATTCAGTGTCCAGCCACAAGGACCTTCTTCAAAAGAGCAATGTGATCCCTCTGGGAGGCTGTCTGCAAAGGACAACATGAAAAACTAAGGAAACAGAAGATAAGTGATTATGGAAGAAAATAAACAGCAGTAAAAGTCAAAACTCATTGTCGTTTTCTAAGTTACACAACTTACGTCACACCATCTTTCAATGGCAAAATATTATCAGGTCTTATTTGTTCATTTCCATGTAGTCACTATCAAAAAGTCAATATTATTTCCATCTGGAAGTATTAGAGAGAACCTGCAGTTCTGTCCTTCTCTAGATACTAAAGAATCCCTCCCACAGGCACAAGAGTGGTAAATCACTATCACATACTCATAAAGGCCCCTGCTATATATGAAATTGCAGTCATAACAAGGGTTTCTATGTCCAATTAAAAGACTATTGGCAAACTATTTTAGATCTCTGTCACTGTACTTGAAACAAAGCTAAAAGATGCTTATTAGCAGCCTTCTGCTTAATCAGGCAACATCCATCATGACATACAACATGAGCTCAGAACTGGGATCCAGGAAGCATGGATTTATGAGTAATCATGTCGGAGGTGGCACTAGAATGATGATCAGTACCATCACCTGCAAGCAGGTTCAGAAGGAATTCCTCAGACAGCTGCAGATGTATGGCTTTGCATTTCTTTGAATCAGTGATGAATATCAAAAGCAACTCACTACTGCAATATGAAAAAAAAAAAGCCCCAAATCCATATTATCCTATAGAGGATGAATTTTCGAAGAGAATCTTGATATCCAATTTACATACATAGGCTAAATTAATTCAGGAGACAAAAACCTGAATTCATCTAGAGATGGAATCAATTTAACCTTTTTTTTTTTCAGTTTAAATTAATTCTCCTGGTGGGATGAATTTTCCCATGAAGTGGCATAGTACATACTCACCACACCTCACTCTCTCCTTTTCTTTTGTAGGGCAATCACTGATGAATTCACAGATCTGCAAATGGCTGACACAGCCTCCAAGAAGGCAGGGAAGGGCAGAGCCTTTGTCATATATAGAAAGATCTTGGTCTTCTTTATCTAAAGGAAAAAAAAAAAGAAGAAAAAATAAGAGAAAATAGCCCAGAGGTGAGGTGACAGAATGTCTAAAGCAGGCTTTTGTATGGATGAGTCTTCAGCCTTCACTGTATGACCTCTGAGAGTATTCTTGGGAAAGTATTCAAGTTAAGTGATCCTTATCTTGACTATTTACCATGAAGTTTTCTCTCCAGCATGAGAAGATCATCTGCAGATTGCCTCAACTTTCATGAGACCAAATTCATTGCCGATTTCTTTCTCTCGTCCACTGTTTTCTGCTGTCTTTGTGCTATCTTTATATGTTCAGCTTTTTCTTCGCTAAAAACTCCATGGGCTTCTGCCATGGTATGCTCTTCAGTTCTCTGCACACGACTGGGCCTGTATCAGGCAGCTAGGACATGCTGCATGGCACTCTGTCGTGGGAGGCAGACACCCGCCCTGCTCCAGCCCAAACACACATAATTATTATGTCCTACTGAGAGTCAGGACATCTGTGCTGCTGGCATATTTCTATCCTGGCTTATGAGCCCTTATTAGTCTAGTCAGCTGTACTCCAGCAAATGCTGCACAGGTACTCAGCAACTGCTTTGTACACAGGTTATAAGTCTTATATTTCTTGAAATCATCACTCTTAATGGACCTGGCCTTTCTTGGATCTGTGCATGGACGATGAACATGCCTAGACCTGAGCCCCATTAACAGAGCTTTGCACTGAAGATCCTCTGGAACTGTAACCAGCTCCATCAGGAGAAGAAAAGCACACATCTGCAGAAACACAGGTACTTGGTCCAGGATAGTATTTTCCCATGACACTTTGTTGTATTGCTTATATGCATCATCTTAATTAGGCACAGTTTGGGAGCACTATTTCAAGTTGTATACAAGCATTAGGCACAGTTTGGGAGCACTATTTCAAGTTGTATACAAGCATACAAAGCATTTCAAGCTGTATACAAGCCCTCAAAAATCCCACGACTGTCAAAAACACTGCATTAAAATACGCCATCTGTTAAAAAGACTGATGACTACAATAAAATTAAATCTCTAATATGATCAAAAATGGTATCATGATGCATTATAAAACAGCTCTCTGAAAACACTATATTTACATTCAAGGCTTTTCTACACTGTCTGCAAAACAGAAGCAACAGGATTATCTTAATGCATGAAAACCAGGAAGTGAAGGAGATTATGTCTTTAACCTGCAGACTGCCTGTGCCAACAGACTTCCAAGAAGTCTAAATGACCTCAGCAGGCTTCTGCACAGGTAATGAGCACCATTTGCATGACATCGACAGCAGGGCTGTAAATGCCAGGTAAAATTGAACATTTCCAAGATGAGCACTCAGTACTTTGGTGAAAATAATTACATACTAATCACTCTCACTTTAGACAGAAGTTCTTGGTCGGGCAGTAACAAGCAGACCCCATAGAGTATAGACCAATGCTTCTTTTCTTTATAGATCTGGACCATGGAACCATAGTGTATAAAATGCTTTGGTGACACTGGGAAGGATTTTGTTATTACTTAAGAAATAAAAATATCACAATAATCTAGACAAATACTTTTCTCTGTCCCTACTGCTGGATGCACTTCAAACTGTTGTTTCCTCACGCAAAAATACGCAAAACAAATCTGAAAAGCAGAATAGATTACTGAGGCAAATTTTATAATTCTGAACTTCAACCCTGCCTTCAGATCCATGTGCCCGTGTTTGTATACATAATACTCATGCAAATATGACCCTTGATAGGCAAAGCACTGCTAGAAACGCTGGGCATAATTCAGCTATTACCCATCTCCCATCCAGTCTACTCCCAGATCACAGTTATCAGTGTTGATGAAGATGATACTCTTTTTTTTTTTTTTGACTGAATTTGGTTATTTCAAACCTGACTATTTTGGAACATACCATGATAGCAATTACTGAATTGCAAGGAGCCCACTGCCAGCAGTCCAGCCTCTTGTGCTCCACAGCTTGAATACAGCAAGGTGATTTTAAAAGGTCTTTCTATTCGTCCAATTTGGGCCATCAGTGGTTTCCATTTCATCCTAGAAGATAACAAAGAGCTATTAGACATGTGCAGAGCACAGGGGAATCCCCGGAGTCCTTGGGTTAAAGATTGTGGACTGTACCAAGCAGAAGTGACAGCATTCCTATGGGGATAGGCTGATAGATGTAAAGTCCAACACAACGATTCAGAGAAAACAAGTGATTTTCATCCTGATAAAGTTCATACTGAGTTTTCTCTGTTCCTGATGATGAAAACAATAATTTCCAAGGATTCCCAAGTTAAAATGGTGCTGAAATTATCACCAGTTTCAGACAACCTCCCCTCTCCCAGTATGTGCCTTCCACATATATGGCTGTGTTCTGTTTGCTCATACAAGATGAAGCAAGCAGTGGCACAAACCTCAATCTCCTCAAGTAAACACTAATGTTTTACGTTCTGGAAGTAGCAGCCACTAAACGTCTGGCCACAAAGGGTGCATTAGTTTAAAAAGGAAGTACACATGCAGAAGACAGGGAAATAAGAGAAGTGGTGTTCAAGAAAATACCCATTGCTCAGGGAATTTACATTTCTCCACAAAACAAATGCCATAACTTCTAGAGAGCAGACATTTTTATACTGTGCAACACTTGTGGCAATTCAGAGAAAGATTGTCCCATACACTCTAATTTTAAAGGCAGACAGGCATCAGAACCTATAGGAATTATTAAAGCACCTCACTCCAATTGGTCTGGTGGGAGTCAGGACATCCAGGTTTCATAAAAAAAATCCCACAGGATTACTAACAGTATTTTTTTTTAAACTGTCCTTCCTTTTTCTGTTAACAGGGCAGTAAAAGACAGCTAACAGTGTATGTGATTATCATGTAAGGAGGGGGTTGTATGAAGGATAGGAATGGAGGAATCCCTGCTCTGAGCTCTCTTCTGAAAAGGATGCATGGTAGAGAGAAGTCTATCTGAATCCCATACATTGCTGGTTTTGCTGCTGCCACCCCATACAGGTGACTAAGCTAATGCCAATGGGGTGAGAAGGAGACAGTAGCTGCTGGCAGGAGGCCAGGCCACAGTGTCAAGATGTGTTGCTATGGCTCTGCTCCTAGCAGTACTTAGTCACTTGGGAAAGGCCTTCAGCTGCCATTCAGTGGCCATATTTTCTTCCCCAGCACCACAAAGATGAGAAGGCAACTCCAGGAGCATGAATGGATGTCTCCTGGACATGATGCGAAAACCACAGAATACCTTATCTGCCACCTGCCAAGAAAACAAAGATGACTTGCATCATTCATCACCCTCTCCACTTTTGCTTCCCATTGATTATCCACCTAATGGATAATCCGAATTCCTAATTCCTTCTTCCTAATTCGGATGCACGTCCTGTGCCACGTGCTCTAGGTGATCCTGCGTGTACAGGGGGGTTGGACTAGATGACCTCTAGAGGTCCCTTCCAACCTTAAACATTCTATGATTCTTCCTGCCACAAACCAACCATATTCTCTTCTCTGGTGAGTTTGTTACTATCCGTTCCCAAGCCCTCCCCACATCTGACACCTTCAGTCTTATGCACAACCCCCAGCCCATGCACACCCCAAAGACTCAGCTGAAGTTGATCCATATCTTATCAAGATGAGCCTATTTCTTATGCTTTCCACTCCATCGTAACATACTCAGTATTTCTAGTATTTCTGATAATTTAATTCAGTTTCAGAAATCTTCAGCCCTAAGCCACAACTGCATTAGCTCTGCTATCCAGCTTTACTTCCATTCCTTATGTCAGTGCAGCTTCAGGGACTTCCAGCACTGTGACTCTCACAAGCACACTCTGCCTGCTGTAGCACTGCATCAAAAAGCAGTCAGCACTGACCCCCAGCCCCTGCACATCTGCAACATTACTCAGCTTTGCATCCTGCTGGCCACAGAGATCAACAGGCCTTAATCAAGCTGGTTGAATGAACCACTGAGTAATGGACAGCCTTTAACTTTGGGATTTGCCTATTAAGCCTACTAAACCTTGCAAGCACTGAGACACAGCTGTACGATCTCCACCAAACTACAGCCTAACCTCCAGCTGAGACCTCACTGCAGCACCAACATCACCGCACCCCCAGGGCCAGAACCTCCAGCGCTCAGCCTCTGATTCGCAGCCTCTGCTGGATTTTATGGTAGGGACCAAAGCGATTACAGCCCCACAGCTGTAAACAATGACCTGCTTAGCTGCTTCGTATTACTCCTACACGGTTTATGAGCCACTTACTTTGGATGTTTCCAACCAGTATATCAAAATAAATGAAAACCACTGGCAGCCTATGTCCATATACCAGTCTCTGAGATGTCACAGCTGAGAGAGACACACTGTCCATGATGCTACCTCTGCTAGGAGAACTGTGGCTTCTGGTAGAAGAGAGTAGCCAGCATCTTAAACTACCATATGTTCAAATTGGCAGCTCTTTACTTTTGAGTTTGAGCCCTTGAGGTCCCATGAAACATTGCAGTACTTCACTGAAGGAGCTCTAATACCAAAATTTAACTCCATTCATCCCATCAAAGGAATGTCAGGCAGGCATCCAGAGCCCACAGAAATGACAAGTAGTTTTGCACAATGTACAATACTTTGGTGCACAGATTCTCACAACCAGCCAGGTATTTCCTCTCAGACACCCTCCAAACTACGATCCAACTACAGCAAGTTTTCTAATGAGGTAAATAATGCATCCTATTTGCTTGTTCCCAGTATCCAAACAGAGGCTGGACACAGCCAATTTAATTTTCTTAATGGAATCAGGAACGAAGCCCATTGTCGATCTAGCAGAAGATGGATCATTGTAGTAGGCTTTCAGATAAGCATGGCTTGGCAATACCTTTAATATTGATTTTATGTCAAGTCAGAGCTCAATTAATGAGGTAATATTACTCTTCTAAATTCAGATGTTAAAACTGCTCTGGATGTATGATGAGGCTGCCAAAGTCTGACACCATTATGAGAAACTCGTAAGGATAGAAAGGAGCTGCAAGCAACCCGATGCCTAATGCAAAAGAATTCAAGATTCATTATATAAATCTGCGGTTTCAACTTCTGATTTTTATTTTCAACATTAGCCTCTCAATCTCCTCTGCTAAACAAAAGCCCTCTCCCCTCCTTATCAATCTTTCCTATACAATGCCTTTCCATCTCAAACAAAGGGAAGTGATTATGAATTTCACAAAAAGCTATTTTAATATCAACAATTTCTTCTTTAAAAGTGACAAGTTCAATAAGCTGGGGCAGGAAAGTTGATTTTTTTTTGAGTTAGGGGTACTCGCTGCATAGGTTATTGCAGAAAGGCATGTTAAATGATTGTAGGCTCAGTTAGTGAAATACAAATTCGAAGAGATTACTGTTTATACATATAAATAGTTGTTTGCACCAAGTCTTCACAAGCATGCAGTTCTGGCCTCCAGACATAAAACCAAATAGACCAGGGAGAAGAGCATGGGCCTCCCCATCTCGCCCTCACCAATCAGTTAAGGATCAAGCTCTTTCCTCCTATGTCCAGCACATTTTGGGTGCACTTTTGACAGAAGCAATGAGGGAGAGTAACTCATACTCTCAGATTAGCATTCAAAATGCTAGTCTTATATACCAACTAGGCACCTTCTCCTTTCCTAGCTACGTTGTTTAATCAAAGTAGCTGTGCTCACTGGTGTCACTGCACATTAGGCATTTTCTGAGAATGCTTGCCAGAGCACTCTTTTGCAAAGGCGTATGTACTAGGACATCTGATTTATTAATCCCAAACTACTTAAGGTCTTTCTAGATGTTCAGATCAGCTATATAGTAACGCTTCCATGTATTATCCACAGTAGAAATTAAATAACTCTTGTGGACAGTAACAACCAGATTGGAGAGCAGAGAGGAAGTCTCAAAGACAATGAGTTACTACAAGTCTCTCAGAAGCTGGAGGGGCATTTTAACGCTCCCACATCCCTGCAGTTGGCTAACCGATCACCCATCCATGAACATAGCCTTGAACTTGTTGCTTTTTGGATGAGACCACCATGACTAACGTCTTACAGTTCAGAAGAAAAACTGAACAAAATGAACCTGGCTTACTGAATACACCTTTGCCATTATCCCTCTGGCAAAGATTATCCCTGCCCCAAATTATGCTATTTAATTTTCACTGGAGTATATGCATTTACAGTTATAAGAAACAAACTTATTCCTGAAATAATTGTGGCCAACAACAAACACGAGGATATGAAATGATCCAGAACCAAAGCACACAGGACCTGGAAGAATTTTCCTCTGTGACTACTTTTAGTTCTGGGTGGCAAAGAGGGGAAAAGGTGGGATAAGCAAAATAGTTAAAAAGACAACTACCATAGCCTGAGCAAGCATCATAACTGTAATCCTGAAAAAGTGAAAATAGCTTTCTGAGCCAAGCACCACATGAAAGGAGCTTGGACTTCTAAGCAAAGCTACAGGCTGTTGATGTTTGTTCCCTCTGAGATCATGGGAAACAGTTTTATATATTTTTTGTAAATATACAGAATTCTGAAAATCTCATTGCCTCAGCAGTTTTCTCTTTAATGGCAGTAACTTAAAATACTCACACTGGGGAATTAAGTAAAACAATAAAATAGTATATATTTGTCTTACTTGTGCAGAGGACTCAGTGCCTGGAAGATCAGCTGCTTCTGCCTTTGGGTGTGTCTAAAATGTGTGCATGAGAAGTGTGTGCATGAGAAATGTGTGCATGAGAAGTGGCAGCTTCAATACTACAGATTTGATGATCAATTCCAGCTGTCAGTGATGTGGGCAGGAAGGTACCTTTCTCTCATGCCACATATCTAAACTTCTGGAAACTGTGTGTCTGACAGATCCTGAAGGATGGAACAAGATCTGGAGAAGCCTCTGGGCTTATCAGTGCTTTATTTGGGTCACTAAGAAAAGGTAGCAACGTCTGTGCCTACTTCCAGTAGAGCTAAATCCATTCTAATGTATCTAAAAGCCATGATGCTTAAAGAGACATTATCTTATTTTCATGTAGAAGTGCCTAACAGTGCTCAAATAAGCTGCTAGGCAACATCTCAGATTCCTTCTAGAGACATTGCAGTGATGGTGCCTGTTATGGGCATGTAGGTACATCCCACAGCTATTATACATGGGAATGGAGCTGTGATTTTAGCTGCTTATGCCAGCAGAAGCTGGTCAAAGACTAAAAGCAGCAAAGTTGTAAGTATGAAAAGGATATTAGAAACTGACCCCAGAAAAGGGCTCAGGATTCCTTATGAAACTGGACAGAAGGGGGAAAGAGCAGCCAGGAAGGGAGTAACAGCTAAAAGCAGGAGAGAAGGGCATCTAAAAGTAAATAAGTTGCTGTAGTCAAACTCTGCTATCTTTGGATGACCGAGAGTCTTGGCTACGCATCTCCATGGCAGCCTGGGGAGTGCCAAGGAATTCAAAGCAAACAAGAACTGGGAACTGTTGCTTAAATTCGCCATGGGAGTCAGTCAGGTGATGGAAACAAAAAGCCTTGTTGTGTGCCTGACGCAGGTTATTGCAAGGCAGATTGCTGCAAAGGAAAAACAAGCATGCAGAAAATGGCAAAAAAAAAAAAAAAGGTGGCCTTCGGATTTTTTTTCTTTTTCTGTTTTAAGTCATTTCCTTTGCCCATTTCCCTTCTCACTGCCTTCTGCTACATGCAGGAATCAGAAAGTAAAACATGGGGGTACTCAAAGAGAAAAAAATACAGGATAGATCTAGGGTTGCGTCATTTAATTTTTTCTTCCCTTCTTCCTGCTACTGGCCTCTGTTCTTCCACTTCCTGAGCTCTGCAAGAGAGTGTTCCTGAACTGTGAAGACATTAGGAGGAAGAAATTCACCAGAGATAAAATTAATCCTTCCTCAAAATGAGAAGTGGGACCCTTGTAATTCTGACATTACTCACTAAATTCTTAGAGCAATCAGTCAGTGAGGGTGTCAGTCACTCCTGACCCTGTCTAATCTGAGCGATGAAGAATGACTCCTCATCAAGCGTGTGCTCTGTGAAGGGGACACACAAAATCCCACTCTGCTACAGACCTCCAACTGTTAGGGGGCTGCGTGTTTTGGTTCTGATAGTCCTACCTGCTTTTTTTTCTGGTGTAATAGAAGCAATGACCTCAAGAAGGGAGAAGATATGGATGTATGGTGGCCTGAAGGGACTCACCCTCTCCTGAAGTTTAAACTAAACAGACGCAAATTGACTGTCTTACCCAGCATCCTCTTCATGGCCAACTTTTAGAGGAATTATTGTTTTTCTGTTTGTTTCCACATGTCTGATTTCAACTGTGAACCTCTGGAGGAGAGGAACAGCATCTTGTGAATATATGACCAATTCCAGCAAGCAAGAGTCCAAGCTCCCAGGCAGGACAGGGCTATGCAGGCTGAATTCACATCTGCCTGGGAGCCTACTGATGTTCAGGAGGAAAATGTCCCCTGTGAGAGAAAGAGAAAAAAATAAAATAAATAAATAGAGATAGACAGACAGACACACAGCATGGATGGAAAAGAGATTGTAAAAAGGAAAATAGGAAAATGGCTAGCATTGGGTTGAAGAAAAATTATGAGAAGGAACAACAACAACAAAAAGAATAGAAATAAAGAAAAAAAAAGAATAAAATAAAAATGAAGGAAATAGGAAGTGATAAGTGTTGAGTGATGGAAGCAATGAGGAGAGAAAAAAAAAAAAGGCAGACTGAAGGCACATCCAGCAAAACAAAAGCCAAAGACTGCAAATCAGACCACAGACATGAGTGGCCAGTCCTCTCTTGTAATGGACTGAGTTTCCTAAAAAATATCCAGCGTCTGCAGGCAAAAGTAGCTTATGCTAAAGTAGACACAAAAGTAGAAGGGTGTGGCTGGCTGTGTGATACGTAACACGCCCAACCCAAGTTCTTAGTGACTGATTCTCCTGGGCACAGACACTGCATGGACAGGTCCTGTACCAGAACCAGCCGATGTCAGTGTTGTCACTGACACATAACAGACTCCTGTTGCCACCCTCTTCCCCAAAGGTCTATTAACAGGGGCTAGGAGAAAGCAGATGTCCTTTCCAGGGAAGGAACCGTAACTCTGCCTACCTTTGACGTCTTCACTAGAGGAGCTGCTCTCCGGAAGCAGCTGCTGCCCCTCCTGAGACAGCAGGACACGAGCTGAAGATAACACCCAGTCTGGTTCTCCAAAACCATCTGTAGACACCACCCAGGAACAGCTCGAACCGAGGATACATGAGGTTTCTGTTAGGAGAAACCAAAAGCTTCAATGGGTGCTGTCTTACCCAGTTCAAATATGAGGGTCAGATTGGGACATGAATGACCAGATTTGCAATGTACAGGGTCAATTTTTCAAAAAATGGAAGAGCTGAAATAAAAACTGTATTGTGCAATAACAGAGAGTCTCACTCAGGCTGTTGAAAAAATATTTAGAAGGAAAAATAACCCTGTAAAATCATAGTAGGTGCAAATCAACATCCTCCCACCAGTGCTACATGAATTTCCATTAGTAGAAGATCTGCTCCACGTGTACATAAAATCCTGAATTACCCCCAGTGCAGCAACAACGGTACTGAAACTGTATGAATTCAGCATTTTAGCAGAGAGGAAGAAAGAGAAGTCTGAGGTTGACCCTCTCTCAGCAATAAGAGCAGCTTGAAAGGGTCTCAAGCAGAACAACTGAGCCAGGCAAGCTTTATTTATTTATTTTTAGCAGTTTTTAGAATAGACAAGAATGTCCTGCTAACAAACTCCAGAGTCCATTCACAGCACAGAGGACAGCAGATCATCCCGGACAGAATTTTTTATAATCAGCATATTATGAGCCAGACAAAAAGTAATTCACTGTTCTCTCATCAATCTAATATAAGCTCCCTGAAGGGATATTAGCTTCACAAAGCTCTCTCACACAGAATAAGGCTGAATATATATGGTAGACTGACGTTAACTTGTGTGATATTTATTTTCAGTAGTAATAATAACATCACTGCAATAACTGGAGGACCCACAGGCCATAGGCAGGAATAGTAAGAGACTAAACATTCATATTTGTGATCCTAACATTCAGAGGGTATTCAGACCTTGCTAACTTGAATTACACAGTGTTTTCTCTTTGGTAGTGAACAAGTCTAAGGAACAGAATTAAGATCAGGGATACATAGTAAAGGCAGGTGGCTGCACAGGCAACAGGGAAAGGGCGAAATTCAAAGCATAAAAACCTCCATGAGATTTGCCATACTTCAGCTAAACTTCCACTGAAAACTATAATGGAAGTTCCCTTTCGGTCAAGGGGGAAAAACATGGCTTTCCAGTGTTGTATGTAAGCTGTCCTAATTTTTTGAAGTTAATTGTTTTCCTGCCTAGACCATCTCTTCAAACTGATACAGTTTAGCAAAGGTCTACTGCACAGTTCAGCCCTCCATTCCTGAAAACACACCACAAGCAGCTGCGCTGACAAATCCGGGCTGGGGTAAGGGCAGCGTCCTGCAGGCTGTCGGCAGGACAAGAGCGATTCTCCTCGCTCAGCAGGGTCAGGCGAAAGACGCCCGTGCGCAGCTTCAGGCTATGGTTTCATTATACAGTAAAACAGCTCCGGAGTTCTCAATAGTAGATCAAAAGCTCCATGACAATATGAGACAGAGCAGAAAAGCAGAGACTTTAAAAAAAAAAAAAGCAGACTGTTGTGCTGCTTTAAATTCTTTAAAGTTTGATAAGTTAACTCAGAACTCACAGACTTACTGTCCATAGTGATAATATTTATATCACGTAAAATTTAGTAGGTCATAAAACCCAGAAAGGAATTATTCTAGTGATAGTATGACAGCATAAGCAAAGTGAGAGTTTAAGAAAGAAAAAAAAAATCCTTTCCTTTTTAAACAGAAGTTTACCTGAAGCTGATATTTATGTCAAAGTTATTACCTAAGTCTTACTAACGCTTCCACATGCAGTAGAGAAAAATGTAGCAATGCAGAGTTAATCCTTGGAATGTGCCTCACACCACAAAGCATGACACACTGTGCTGCTTTGTTACCCAGCCCAGACAAGTGGACACACTGTTCTCCTTCAAAAGCACCTATTTCCTATACTCCCCAGGCTGTTGCAGTCCAGGGCCAGAGAGGATCTGAATGCCCTGAAGAAGAGTCTAAAATACACTAGGGAAGCTGTTGACATCTGGTGAGAAAAAGAAAAGCCTCTGAGCTTTCTGCCAAGGGTGTGCATTGTATTGTGAAGGAAAGCTCCATCAACAAGGAGTTGTTTAGTGTAAATCAACAAAAAGAACAGAGTACGCTCATGTGGTCATAATATAAGAGAACACTGAAAGTTGCAAGCTCTAACACTGCTGTGCACACCTAGCTAACAATTGCTTCATATCCAGCTTTGCTTAACACAGACGAACCTGAGGGACTTCAGTGGCAAGTCCCTGAAAGTTAAAATATGACAGAAGTCACATTTCCAATCAACAAAGGAGACACCTCCAGATGTTACAAAAATGCTCTAAAGAAGCTCAGATGGAAGAAATCTGAGGAATATTTGCAGGACATATCAGAAAGGAAGTTCACATTTTAAAGAACTGGATGCCATCTGCAAGATGGTACTGTGAGGAATTTCTGCCTGGCAAGGCTTGGTCAGCTTGCCACCTCTCATGCTGAAAGGCTCTGCCTTTTCCAGCGTGCACAACCCCGTCATCCACTAAGTGTCAGGGGCTGCTTCATGCCCTGCATTTCTGCACAAAAATGATGAACGGCAACTGACTCAGACCTTTATAAAGTTTGGTGTTTTTTTTCAATAATATTCATAGAATCATAGAATGCTTAGCGTTGGAAGGGACCTCTAGAGATCATCTAGTCCAACCCCCCTGCATACGCAGGGTCACCTAGAGCACGTGGCACAGGACTGCGTCCAAGCGGGTTTTGAAGATCTCCAGAGAAGGAGACTCCACAACCTCTCTGGGCAGCCTGTTCCAGTGCTCTGTCACCCTCACTGTTAAGAAATTTTTCCTTAAGTTCCTGTGGAACTTTTGGCGCTTCAGTTTGTGGCCATTTCCTCTAGTCCTATCAGTGGCCACCACTGAAAAGAGACCAGCACCATCCTCTGCACTCCCTCCCTTGAGGTACTTATTTACACTGATTAGATCCCCTCTCAGCCTTCTGTTCTCCAGGCTGAACAGGCCCAGCTTCCTCAGCCTCTCCTCGTAGGGCAGATGTTCCAGGCCCCTGATCATCCTTGTGGCCCTGCGCTGGACTCTCTCCAGCAGCTCCACACCTATTCTGGCACTGCAGTAAGATCCTTCTTATCTTGCAAGGATTTGGCCCAGTTCATTGGGCTTTTACAATGCCTAGAAAGAGAAAAATCCATTTGAAAATAACTTTTGTAGCTTATTTTATATGGCTGGAAAGCAAACCCATTAATTAGATTTTGCTTCAAGAACTCTCCATACCCAAATCTGTTTTGTTTTTACTGTGCTCATATTAGGAGTAGTAGGAAGAGTATTTGTGATACCTGATCTAGAAGGTTCATCTGATGACACCATCTCATTTCTTATCTGAGAGAGTTCATGAGGTGTATCTGGTGCAGAAGAGTTTTCTTCATGTGATGCAGAGCAGGAGACAACAACTGTAACAACAATAAAAAAGAAACATAAGGGAATTTAAATGTTTCTGTAGAAAATCCTGCTCGTATGTTGTTGAACATGAACATGTTTTCAGCAAAGCCCATGTTATATTACACCTGCCTCATTACAGCATTCTCCCAAGGATGCTTCAAATAGACCTACCAGAAACTAATGAATACAATAAAATATTTTACTTACTAATATGAACTTCATTGTGCTTTTTTCATTACCATTTTTATCACCATATAACCCATAAAGAGATACTGCATATTACAGTTGTATGATGGAGCAATGGTTCCTCTAAACTGTAGGCACATAACTGCCTGTCAACACCACACCTTTTGCTCTAAAAATATGTGTATATACAGGAGACACATGCAGCTTTGGAGCTTGATGCATGCACAAAGAAGGGATTGTCTAACTCACTATTTCTTCCGAAGTCACAAATTCTCTTTTTATGACTTACATCCTAAGATTTACTGCTTTAAAGCACTACAAGAAGAGTTCAACTGTAAAATGCACTTTTATCTGTAGAATGCAGGACATGGATTTTCTTGTCATTCAAAGCAAAACAAATTTACAAAAAATATTATTCATTGTGCTATTTCTGGCAAGCAAATATTCAATACTTCCTGATTTGTCTTTGGAACACTTCATACCAACAGCAGCACTTTTTATTTTGCTTTGTGCATATGAAAATACGTAAATCCCCAAATAGGCATGCAGTAATCACTATTCAAGATCCTTCCTCATTCTTTTGTCTTCTAGAATCACAAGAAGATTCTGTTGACTAGAAAAAAATATTACTAATTTTCAGAAAGTGTTCAAAAAGGCATTAAAAGTAAGATGCTTTCAAATCTCTGTGGTGTGGATTATGAATCCAGCCTCACAGAAACATGACATATCAGAGGGAATTGAACCACATGAGTTGTGGTTCTATTGTGATCGAGACAGGAAATGTGTGTACATGTCATTGATCAGAGATAATATATTCTCAACAGAACTAATTTGAAGTGGTACTATGAAAACACACAGCAGGTTTGGAAACAGACAAAAACAAAACTTTCAAACATATGTTCAGCTTTCTCAAATTTATAACTACACTCGCAGACTACTACAGCTATTTGCATTTTAATGTTTATGAAAACATACATCACATGGTGAACAAAATACTATGAAATGTTCCATGCCATGAGAAAGCTATGTTCTTTCAACCTTTCCGTAGTACTAATACAGCCCTCAGTTTTCATGAGGTACCAAGGAAAGGGTAGCTTTAGACCAAAACAGCTATCACCTTGGAGCAGATACACACTGTACTGATGCTACACCTGGAATGTCTATGGGAGAGGTCTATGTTTAAGATATGCAAAGACTGAAAAACTGATGCTGTACTGTATGCGAGTTACACTGAGACCTGTCTATTAATGAAGGTATGTTAAATAACTGGAAGAAATTCTCAAAAAGAACTTGAATTCTCATCTGATGCTTAGATGCTCAAATTTGTCAAAGCTTGCTGTACAAAAAGGTAACGGAGGAACCACTTCACAGAACTATCAGAAAACAAGCAATCTATTGCATATTGCAAATAAATCTATTCTGCCAAATTTAAAACCTGCTGTGCAAAGAGAACGCGATCTCTTGGCAGCTTGTGCCTGCCCCTCCTAGCTTTTGTTCTGCCTCCTTTGAGGCATTGCTCACTTCTGCATCTCCCAAGCTTTGCTGAGCACTACGGCAGCTTCAGGATTTACTTCCCTCAGGGCTTTCTCTCAAGTCTGTTCCACCCGCTCCGCTACCCACAGGTTCCAAGCTGCTTGTATATTTTGAAATTAGCTTGAACATCACAGGACCTACAATACATAGTACAGTCACGGCAGAAACTCTACTAGAGACATTCCTCTTAATAAAATTTTATTTACCCAAACTCCACTCTCACTTACATATACACCTTTGGGTTTTTCCTCCCCTTTCTTGTTAGCAAACACAAATTCCAGCAGCAGAAGCTAACAGCACTTGAGATACAAATTTATTGCTTTAGCGTGACAGAAATCCAATCAATCTTAGAGATGAGTGTGATGAACAAGGTTCAAAAGGTTTTGGTAGAGTTAAAATAAGTCACTATAAAGTCTGAAGGTCTAGTATTAAGATGCATTAAAACACAGGTACTGCTTTGACATGAAGAACTCTGCATGAAACCTGGTCTGCTAATTACATTATCCACTGTGCAGACTCTCAGCAACATCCTATTCGATGCTGACAAAGTTCAAAAGGGCTCAGTCAAACACAACCCTGTTCACCAGCTCTGGGAAGGTGCCTCTTACTGAGCTTATTAGAGGAAGAGGAGACAGTCACTGCAGCTGAAGTAACCAAGAGTTGAAACATGCCTGCATAGAAGAGGAAGGCAGTGATAGGCAAAAAATTCTTTTATAAGTTCCTATGGAAATATTTGCCCATATGTTTATTTTCTGATAGCAAAGATAGCTATTACTGAGCAGGATGATACCCTATGCAGGAAATGCGTATAGAAGACTTTGACACTTCAGCCTGAACTCTTACATTTATCTATCAATTCTTATCATCATTCACCCATTCGACCTCTCTGGTTGAACTGAAAGGCTACTGTGTAAAGCCACGAACAGATTATGTACCTTACTTTCCCTAAAACCTAGGAATTCCAGAAATGTTTCTAATAATTCCAGATCATATGTTTTCATCCTCCCTTAATGTAATTCTTATATGACATGAATTTCAGCCTTAAATGAATAATAAACACCATCTCTTACTCACTGCTCTTATTCACTTTCTCTGTCTTAATCAGTAAAATGCAACAATTTAAGCGAAATGAAATGTAAGATGGAAAGAGAAGAAATTGTGATAAGTTAAGCCTGCCATTAAGAAACATAAAAGAATCAGGAAGAGACATAGTCAATATTCAACTGTCACAGTTGCAACACAAATCAATCGCTTTCTTCGTAAAAAAAAAAAAAAAAAAAAAGCCCAGAAGCCTCCAGCACTCAGAGGGTAATTCCATTTATTTCACTATCTTGAAAAAAAAAATTCAAACACTTGCTGGGCTGAAATTTTTCTTGAATCTTGATGTTACTTTGGAAATGAAAAGAAAATCCTTATAGAACTCATGATGGAAAATCAATTCTGGATCAGCTGAGCCATCTTCCTGCCAAAGCAGGAATTTCTTTCACAGTATCTTCTACCTGTTTTGTCTCAATTAATATCAAAATAGTAATTTGATACTTTTCACTGCTTCTCTTGGAAAATAACACACAGACTAATAGATCTGACTGTCAGAAAGTCTGAATACAAAGAGAAGAGTCTTTGTCTACTACCTATCCTAGTATTTTTCAGCTACTCCTGGGCCTACCACTTTCAGGTCAATAAATAATTCCTCTGCTTCATGAGTTCCTTTACAGCTTTACACTATTAACCTTTCACCCTGCTAATGTCACTGCCACTAAAAATGTCAACTCCTGCTTGCTCTTAAACTCTTTATTCTTTGCTCATTTTTTGGTCCTTGTGTCCTTTGCTTATTTTATCGCTCTTTTTGTATTCTCTACCAATTCTCTACGAATGATCAAAAAGGGGAGCAAAATGACAAAATGCAGTTTTGGCAAAGCTTACTATATAAAGCAATATACTTCAGGATCTTCTTTAAGTGCTCTCCAGTTTAGAGAATTCTTGCTGAAAGGCAGACATAAGAGGAGGTTAATGTCCTGTTACGTAGAATGGTCATGTTTGCCTTCTTCAGAGCTCCCTGCTAAGCTGCGCTGCAAACACATCATTTGGCCAAAATAACTCCTTTTAGCTGATCATACACAATGACATCAAGTCTTTCCTTGAAATATGTCCCTCCAGAACAGATACCCCACCCTCCATAACTACACTGTCCATTCTTTCCACTTGAGATACATAATTTTACAGTGTCAGTGAGTTGAACTCTGCTTTATTTTCCCTTCCCGTCCTTTAAGTTATTGGCAAATCATCAGTAAAATTTTTATGTTATCTTCTGACTCACTGCTAAAACTGTTAAGTAGTACATACCCTAGAACTGACCCTTGCAGGAACTCACAAGCAGAATCAATCCACAACAATTCTTATTTGTACTTTTATTTTAAACCTAGATATGACATAATGATTTGTACCAGCTCTGTTTATGCATTAAGACACTGTGTTTTACCAGTTTAAGTATATGCCTGAAATCTAAATGCAAGTATTTTGCTATATTTTTTCTGACTGACAAAAAGGCAGCACTCATTACTCAAGCCGTCCAATTTAAGTAAAGGGTAAGTCAGGATAAGCAATTAAGCACAGTCATTCAGAGTATTGCACTTACCCTTTTTAAATACTAATGCAACATTCAACTTCTTCCAGTTTTCCAGAACTTCTTCAGTATCTCCACACTTACTGAAAAATTCAACACCGATGTCTTTTAAAGCTCCTTAACTATTTTTTTCTCAAATCTCTTGAACACTAGCTGTCTTGACCAGATGATTTTCAAACTGGGCGTCTTTATAACTGCTTTTGCACAATATCTTTGTGTTGTTATGGAAACAACTGCAGCATCATGATGTGACAGTAAACACATTGTTTGTTTTTTACTTAGAAGAGAAATGTCTATTGAGTGCTTCTCCTTTTTGGATCTATTACTGAGGATCCTACCACATACCTTGTCACAGACTAACATCATGGCTAAAATGTATCTGATACTAATGCACTTGAAAAACTTCCCTGGACTTCCTAACTCTGCTGCTCACAGACTTCTTCCTATTCTCTTTTGCTTTCTCTGTCTATTGCTACATTTTCTAGTTTCTAACTTCATTTACTGCAGACAACTTCCTCTTATTTTTCCCACTTATGAAAAATATTTCTCACTTTTTAGAGCTACTTCCTCTTTTAGAATTGTTCTTTACATATACATAAATATATATACACATCAGCATACTCACCTCTTTCAGCTATGGCTTTGTGGCTTTCTACCCATTTCCACATA